GTGCATATTCCAATGTGCCTGAGAACCTGATTAGCGGCGTATGTCGTCATCCGGGAAACCACACGTAGAACGTAGATGTCTCCCTCCCGAATTTCTCGACGGTCACAATTATGGGGTGTGAATTAGCCATTCGCTGTGGTGAGCGACCTTCTGGACGGCATGCTCTAGGCTATCTGACTGATGCACGCTCCTCTTCAAACGCTCGTTGGCGTGCTCCAGGCGGTTGTTGGTCACATTCCCAAAATGTGCGAACCCACGTTGTGCGTGAATGGCCGACTTTCGAGTGATGTGGAGCCAGTGGGCAGTCAAATAAGAGACAAAAATGGGATCTGTTCGCCTCAAGATTTGCAAATCGTGGCGAAATCTACAAGATAGTGTTTGGTGCACAGTCATCTACTCAGCTGCATTATCAAAGCGAGCCATGCGGTGGAATATGTGCCGACTGCGGTTGGAAATCGTCTGCAAAGGTTACAACAAAGCAATGAAACGTACGTGCATCCGGATGGCTTGCCGTGCGTGAAAATATCACAGCATTATGTCGCAGCCAAATACAGCTTTGGCATCCCGCATCTGCGGAGTCATTTTTTCCATGACGGACGTTTTGACTGCATATTGTCCACCCATCATATCTTTGAACAAGCTGAACAGCTTGTGCAATGGCGCAAAATGCTCCCTTTCGACAAAGGCATACATTACGGGTCGACCGATCCCCATGCCATCTGTCACAAGGAATGTATAAAGCTTGTAACTTAACAGCGAACGTCAGTGGCTCGAAATTTATTTACCCAAGACGGTTAGTACCGTGTGTAGCATCAACGTTTACAACGTCCGGGAAACGTCTAAAGAGTGCTATCTGCTGCGTTCGAGAAAAGCACAGGTGACTATATCTGCCACCCTCCGATTCCACCAGCAGCACGCGACCGCACTCTCGAAACTTGGCTATGATGGACGACATGTCATCTAAGAAACCAACTAAAAGGTAACCAACGACCTACTTAACAATGGGGGTCGACACTTGACGCGATAGTTACGCACATCCTTGATAGTGAGTACCTTTCCAAAGTAGTCGGCGACGTACTGCCGAATCTCCGATGACGGAGCACCGTATTTCAAAAGGGTAAAACACTCCTTCAGTTCACCATTTGTCAGTCGCCGGTTGATGGGGAGCCTGTCAAAAATAAACCTGCTGCGTGGATGGTTGTGCTCCAGGTAGTAGGAAGTAACCTTCAAGCAATCATGGTACCGGCGAACGTAGAACCTTGCCGGACAATCAGTACGACGTGTGCTACAACGTACACACAATCAACCATGAACTTACTAGGTGCGACGAATTTCGCGGCTTCTGCTTCGTCTGCAGGGACGTCTACTGCAACGTTAGAAGGCTTTTTCATACAAAAGTAGTGAATTGCTGCTCTTTTTGGAGTTTATACAGGCAAAAACCACGCAATGCTTCGCCTGATACTCTTTCAAAGCGACGTGAAATGTACTGAATGAGAAAAAACTTTGACGAGCTAAATTCTCCACAAAATCATCCCCCGCATTCACGTGCTCAGCGATAGCAGCCATTTCAATTATGAATATCGCGGGCCTTGAATATCGTGGGGGTTGAGTAGATTTAAACAACTTTCAACAAAACTGCGGCCGCATGGGAAGGTCTCATACGCCCGAAAAGTTACCATCAAATGTTAAAACTTTATGTTAAAGTTTTCCAACTTCGAATCACGGTTTTAGAGAAATTTTGGGTGTGCATCTATCCCACGGCCCTTGTTCCGTAGAAATGGTAATGCATTTGCATTTCCCGCCAAACACCACTCGCTGTCTTGCGGTTGGGCTTTTGACGAAAATGCTTTAGTTGAGGACCCCAGTCGCCCCCCTATGTTTGGGCGTCCTGACAGTATCTCAGACCACGTACAACCATGAAATGCACACAAACTGTGCAACAATCAAGAAAGCACCAGCTGACACCACCGTTAAGATGATCTTACACTGTCAGCGATTGGCTGCCGCTTGAAAGCGACCATCGCCTACGGTGGTTGCGGCGTGCTCATTTATGGCGTCCAGTCATCGACTTGATGGGATGTGGGTGCATTCCTAAACCTAGTTGGCAGCAGTTGGTGTGATTATCACTCTGAATCTCAATGCAACGTATGATTCGTAGAAAGAAGCAATTTGTCAGCTGCGTGACACGAACCCTCATATGGACCTTCGAACCTAGAACATAAAAGATTATCTGAGTATTGTCCTCCGAGAATTTCAGATCCATCTGGGGTTGTGAACATTCTGCCACGTGTTACGTGGTAAAGTGAAAAGTTATTTACCCAAACAGCTTTAACGCCAGGAAAGAGATGTATTCTAGAACTCATAAACCTTACCATACTGGTCAGCTGTGGAGGTAGGGTCTGTTCACACTGGCGCCCAGACGACAAAGTGCTGTTCTGATCTATAGACTGCAACCTACACCGTCATTTTAAAGGTTTTCCCGTTACCGAATAAAACTGTCACGTGTTTTACAACCGTCTAAATCCTCGGGTCACTTTGTCGAGGGGGTAGTCAATGCATGAAACAGTATGAGGAGCAAAGCTGCGTCAGCGAACACAAAGTGGGAACATCCCCCATACTCTCAACAACTGATTGACTGGTTAAAACCACTGTGAGATTTTCCAAGTTTATGTGATGAACATGACTGAAACTATACTCATTGATCTATTCATTAATCTCTTGTTTTAATATCGCGTGCTGTAGACGTGCCGATTTGAATACGTATGCGCTACCTGTTACTCTATGGGGCGTCCATTAGCCGCACAATGCTCTTCGCTGCAAAGCCTTTGAGAGTGGAGTGAAAATTTTCCTCTAAAATGTTGTGTTTCGTTGCATGTGTGATCGAACCAAAACATTGTGGTGTTTGTGCGTTCATCCAGTAATCGAAGCACCAACGCTATTTTGCGTTACGAATGGGTGTACTACAAATGCAGCAGGCGCCCTCCAAGACCAACGGAAAGCCGTGGAATCCGAAGAAGCTAGTGAGCCGAGCGCATTTTCTAATAAAAAAATACGCGAAGCACCAGCTGTCTAGTACGGTTTTGTCTACGGAGGCAAAGGAACCAACTGGCAGTGACCTCTTATTTTCCGGAACACAACCACAAACTGTCAAAGTTTCTTTACGATGGGCTTCCAGTCAATCGACGCTTAACCGAAAACGAGTTGGGCACATGCAAGGCCCTGCTGAGATATGGAACGCCGTCATCTGAGGTGCGGCAGTTTGTGGCGGATGAATTCGGAAAGATTCTTACAACTAAGGATATACACAACTACCGCCGGAAGTGTCGACCGGCTATGTTGAGTAGGTGCCTAATGGTTGGGTTTTAATGTAGCAGATGATATGCCTTCGGTCCTGGCAAAACTTCGGGAGACCGGACGCGTTCTTGTGTGTCAGGGAGAGGAAGGTCACTATAGCCACATATGTTTCTCCCGATGGCAGCAGATAGCGTTATTCCGACGCTTTCCCGACGTAGTGAATGTGGACGGGACACATGCAACAAACCGCCTTGGGTAAGTTTTTTTAAAGCATCTAATATTCGGTATTTAGATATAAACTATACACATTCTTGATAACGGACGGCATGGGAACCGGGCGTCCGGTTATGTATGCGTTCGTAGAGAGCGAGCAGTTTGCTCCCATGCGTAAACTGTTCGGCTTGTTCAAAGAAATGATGGGCGAAGCGTATCCGGTCAGGACCTTCGTAATGGACAAGTTGGCGGCGCAAATGCGTGCGGCAAGAGTAGTGTTCGGCTGTGACATTATGCTTTGCTACTTTCACGTCCGCAAAGCCATCAGGAAGCACGTATGTATCATTTAATATCCATGTATTTATGGTCACAGACACATTGCGAACAGCCGGCACATATTTCACCGCATGGCTCGCCTGGACAATGCTGTACAGTAGGTTTTATGTTCATCATATTACAAGCACACAGATTCCGACAAGATCTACAGCTTCTGCGTCGAACCGACCCCCGTTTTCTCTCCTATCTTACGGCTCGCTGGTTGTACATCACCCGAAAATGGGCCATACACGCACAGTCCGGAATGGTTCATTTCGGTAATGTGACCAACAACCGACTGGAGAATGCGAACGGGCGCCTTAAAGATCAGGTGCACCACTCCGACACGTTGGAGCATGCCATTCAAAAGGTGTCCCGGCACGCCGAGTGGCTCATGCGGGAGTTTGAGATGCATACGTCGTACCACTGCGACAGGCGGCAAATCCTGGAGGGTGACGCCTACGTTCTAAACGTAGTCTGTCGAATGACGACATATGCATGCTCTCTCGTTTTGAGACACTTGGGTCCGCGACCGCCGCGGCTGCCGTATGAAAGTGTCGAAACAAACAAGGTGAGGTCGAGCTCCGTAAACTAACTCATAGTTTGTGGTGCAAACACTTAGATGCTCCCAGACTGTCGACACCTGTGCTGGAGAATGCACGTGCCCTTTCTACCAGGCGATGTGGCTCCCCTGTGTGCACCTGTTCTCTGTATTTCGAGATCAGTCCGTTCCGAGCAGTAAGAACTATTCATCATTGACTTTTTCTTAGCTTGCTTTCCAATCCACCAACGATGGCTGTCAGATTACAACCTACCGGGAAAAGGTGTACCACTTACACTTGTTCCCAAACCACCCCCGACAGCTTTCGACGGTCTTCGTAAGCAACTGAATCGGGTGATGGATAAGCTTCAGAGGCTGGAACCCAGGAGGGCCACCGCCATATTTAAGCGGCTGATTGTTCAGGGCGAAATCCTGCTGCGTCAAGCCTCAAAGTCTGCAACCGACGATCTGCCGTTGGTGGTCGAGGATACTGCGCCTCAACCCAGATGGGGGTCTGGAAACGCTGACTTGGGGTTCTGTGTGCTCTGTGACCGGCCTACTACTACCAGTGACCGCTGGTGTACAACGGATCGCGTGTCATATCACGCCGACTGTTGTGACGGTGAACCCTGCCCACTGTGTGGTGGTGCGCTTCAGGCTTGTCCCATAGGTGAGTCCACATGAAAATAAATCACTTTGGGTTCTTAGCTCCGGGCCCATCCAGAAAACGCAGAGGTGTGCTTGCTATCCGGTCCGCAAAAAGGGCGTCTTATGATGTTGACCTGGACCGAAGCACAGATTCCCAGCACAGTGTGTCCCGTAAGTCCGTGTGCGTCCGTGTTTTCGGGTCCACAGAGGAACTACTCGACGGCCGTGAGTCTGTCTGACAACTACGACTAACTCTGTAGAGCGCCGGCTAGATGAAAGAGATGAAGATGATTTCATGTGATCCATCGGCTCCGGAAAGTTTGTCTGGTAATGAGATCCTATGCATTACATGTAAGTCTCGTATTTCTTGAGAGTTGCAGTAAACAGGCATGCGAAATAACCGCTGAGGATCGCATTATGTGAACAGGCATCTACGACAGCATAGCCGCTGCAGTGAATTTTCGGGTAAGTATCTCTACCTGTTTGTCGGCCGCCCGCTTTATGGTGATATTTCGATAACCTGAATTATATGTTCCTCTCATTTCAGGACTTCAACGGCCAAATGAACGCTCCTCACGAAGAAGAAAATGCGCCTCACAGAAGGAAATATGTAAACTTCAAAACGACCAATATATTCCAAAATCTCAAGACGTCCATTTTGAGCCTTTTCTCCGTTACCGATGGATGGATTAGTTAGGCAACGTGTACCCCTAGCCGCATGTTAGTGGTGTGCGTCGGTTAAGATCGATGAACCCGGAGGACTTTCTAGCATAATTCGGAACCTGTAATGAAAAAATCTGTAATTTGCTAGTCAACTTTCACAATGTTTGGCAACTAATTAGCGTGCACCACTGGCTACAAAGAATCATCGGCCAAAATTTGTTTGAACGAATGCGCCTGCGCATAAGTTGCATCTCGAAAGGCCATTTAGATTCTAGAATGTTGAAGAAGTTAGTTCCGGTGGAAAATTACCTGAAAGTTACGTCATGTTATTTTTATTTCACCCGAAGTGGTTTTGCAGAAAAATGCATTGTGCTTCGAGCCGCTGGCCGAGATGCCCAAATGAGGCTCAAAAGTTTGAACCGGTACTCTGAACTCAATTTTCCGATTGCTTCAGTTCATCAGAGACATCAGAGCCTTCGAAAGTTCTGTTCCATTGTGCGAATACTGGGCGGCCACTGTGCTGAATTCTGGATTTTTATTTCGTCTGGGTGTACCGACATATGTGCTGAAATTGGTTACTACAGTATACGTTACAAGCATCTGCAAACGCACCGAGCTATTAGCCCTCACAGTTGGTGAAGCGAATGGGGTAAATGAAACTCACATCTCTGCTTAACACTCCATCTACTTTAGTGGTCCCTTCCCAGTGACATCATATACATGTGGTGGAAACCTGTAATCTGCAACTTTAATTTTCTGCATATGGTATAGGAACTGGGATATTTATGTGCGCATTTCGAGGGCTGATGGTACTAACTTATTCGGAACGACTTTCCTAGACCAAGTGGAAATTCGTCTGCTGATCTTGACGTGCACCGTGCTGTCGCGTCCTCTTACGTTACACGGTTTACTTCTTCTTCCCAGCCAAACCCTTCACTTATCTGAGTCTGCTGTGTACTGCGTCTACTTCACAGACTCGATATGCATTTTAATCCCTCATGAAACTTTAAACTTTTACTTATCCAACCGATTTGGCCGACCGCCTTTTACGTGCGCTTTTTGACCACTTTGCGTTACCGCGTCTTATGCCCAGGTGTGTCGCAAATTAAGATCCATTCGTCGTCTTCTTTGGGCTTTCCTTGGAGTTGCACCATTGCGTGTTACAGCTTAGACAGAAACCCCTGATTTGAGTTTTGTACCCATTTTATTACGTTTTTTATGCATGTGATACCGCATCTTTCGATAAATCTAAAAAAACAATAATTTCTAGCTTTTGATTTTGCGCATCACTCAAGTGGACTTTTCTGAGCACTTCAAGGTTCGCCGGGTAGCTTGAGCTTCCAGCTTCCTGCAGGATGTAATATGTTTAGGGCAGCACTATGGTTGATATAGTCACTCATCGTATGCCCACACGGTGATCTCGTAAACACTTCAGTTCCATCAAACCTCTCTGCCCAGTGTGAGAGTCGTTTGCGAATACAATGTGCTAAATAGCCATATGTTACCTCAAACCACCTAATTGTTCGCTCATATCTGCTTGTGCCCGACGATGCTTCTGATTTTGATCGTCGGAGGGTGGTAGCATGATTCACTTGTTCATCACACATCAGACTTCTGGGCCTTTGGAGTGCCGAGATCCCTCTCCCGGGACTACCCCAGTGCGTAACACCATATGTCGATCCCGCAAAGATTAGAGCCGTTTTTTGTCATAGTATCTAGTATATGCGAAGAAGGTTTGTCCACTTCTAAGCAGTTCCTCTGGGTAGACAGTGGACAATTAGCAAAACGTCAGCACGATTATTTAGTCGTTTGTAACCATGTAATATATGCAGATGGGAACAACTGCAGCAGCTTCGGATATTTCTCTTGCCAAACAGCCTTGAACATGAACGGCAAATCATCCTGTGACGTCTATAATCACGCTCATCAAGGTTCGTGATTTGACAACGTCCCCAAATACCCTGCATTGTGGACATCATCCAAGGTCAGAGTGTCGTATGTGCTCCTCGGCTTTGGTACAGGGATGGTAGGAGGGATTTCCTTAATTTGTTTCTGTCCGGATGAATTTCGAGTTTAGCAGACTGAACAGCTTAAAACACGATGCGTGGAGTGTCCCTCTGTGCTCCCACTAGAAAAACATCTCTTTGTTCTTGCTACCGCAGAGCGTAGGCGAGTTTTGGGGTTATCCCGCGAGATTGTCCGTAGATCTTTTATTGTCCAACCTACAGTGAGGTAGCTCTCTGTCCCGTGCCTGAAGATCACTAACATTAGTCCGGATGTCTCGGCTTTTTTCAGTGTTTAAATTGTCGACACCAGTCAGTTGATGAAACCAATCTGTATTTTCAACTCGTTTACACTAAAGCTCACCTCTTTATGTAGTTCTGGGTCGTTCGAAAACATCGGGGAGCTCGAGCCGAGTCGACCCGGAAACCAGCCTGCACATGTTGCGAACAGTCTACGCCACAATCGTGTCCTGTATCCTTTCCGAGAGTGCGCCAAAGACTTATAATTTTTCAAGTCCCAGGGATTGATTCGTAGCAATTGTAAACCACTATTTTTCCTGCCCAATATAATCTCTCTTCCCCTGTCAATGTTGCTCACAATTTAAAGGTTTTTTGCAGAAATACAACAACTCCTGTTTCTCGGGTTCAGTGGGGCTGAGCCTTTTGTAGAATGGCCGTTGTTGCAACGCGCCTTTGAATAACAGTGGGTGGCACTAGTTCCCAACGTTAAAATTTTAGCTGCAGACACTGAACCTATTCGTTCATGTCAGCGGATTATGATTGCGATAACCGGAGTTTCCGGAGTACCAGTGGAGTACAATCTTCCGTTCTTGGTGCGGTGGTTCGACGGGATACTGACCTGTCAAAGCTACTCTTGTGAACCATACATCAGGACTTCCTTGGATTCTTCTTGTAACATTATATCCCACTTATATTAATAGCTGTTCCTGTTAATTAGAGACCCCTTAGGACCGTTAACCACTACAGATCCTCTTGTAGAGGATCCACCTAAGTCGGCTTGTTGAAGTAGACGTAGCAACATAGCATGATCTATCCACTCGAGCATTATGTGTACTGATTTGCGGCCCACTGCAACTTCACTCGAAGGTTCACAAGCTGTGAGCAGGATTGTAACAGAAAACAACTCACTCATGAACCCGGGTCCCACCTGATAATGTATTCGAAGAGATGCACCTAATGCTTTAGGGTTCTGAAGTCCGCTTTTATCAAGCGAATTTCTTAGTAGTTGCTAGGGCGCTTATGGTTGAAAACAAGAAGCTGTCTATATATATTTTCACACTCCATTCTTTAGAACTGCCTCCAATTATTAATGAACGATCGTATGTGCGCTAGTGGCGTTGGAATGACGTGGGAGAGTACTCTGAGCACAAGGTCCAGTCTGTTCAACCCTGATGCCGCAGAGCCATCAAGTGTTTGCAGTAAGTGTTCTAGTTCGCTGAAGCTGGAGCTGCTACTTCCTTCGTATGAATCCGATTTCTCGGAAAATTTCATTGCTGCGTCAATCACGTCCACTCATATATTATTGTGAAGATAACGTATCACTACAAGTCAATCGTTTTGTTCACTGGTTGTGACTTAGTTTTCTGCGTTCATCCCCGAATTTCGTTCTTGCCCCATGTTTCGTGATTTAGGTTTGCGTAGATCCTTTTAGCGCACCTTTCTGAAGCTATTTCAAGTCTTCCCTGTGAGTCAGTCATCAGACATTACCCTCAGGCTTCCTGCTCACACAGTGTATGCAATAACCCTCCAGTTATTTGCTCTTGCTAGTTTATCGCCACGCTTCTACTGTTATTTCCACAATTTAACAAATATTGTGACGTCCAAGTGGGTCGATGAGGTTTAATCTTCGCCTTTTCGGTAGTTTAGTTCGATCACCTTCAACAGGCTTCCATTAAATTTCCACGGGATACACACAACAGGCAGCGGTGGCCACAAATCTTACATGCCCTCATATTTTGAAAATCGGTCATCTATGACGCCTGCAACTCATGGGCGGGTGATAACGGTATCAACAGCTCCATAAGAAATTTATCGTTGTCTCCTCTGATGAAAAATGGGCCTGCGCAATGAGTGTCTTATCGACGACTCTAGAGCTATGTATCGTCGCTGGATGGCAGTTTGTGCTGATAAACGCTCGCATCACGTGCATGTGGAAATCACGTAATTCGTCAGAGAATACAGAATATAAAACAGCACACCTTGGGAGAACACGGAATGCAGCTAGAACACCTAAAAGCACCACTGCAGCGCAAATAAAACAACACAAGTTTGCATTTTAAATTAAAATCTTATGAAGCACTTTATAAACTCCTCACTGGTTACAAAAATGAAAAATCGAAAATTCATGGTCGTGGCGATATTGCTTCCAGACATACTACATCAGCTAATATTCGACTTCCCACTCCAAAGACAAGGCCACTTGTAAGTGTGAATGGGTGAGCGTCCACGCTGACCTTTAAAAGCGACAGTAGCCATGGCGAATGGACAGTTAGTGTGAATAGGTTCAGACCAGAAGACGCTTTTCGTTTTTTAGAACCAAACAACGAGTATGGAATCATCTGCATCACAGTCTTGGACCTGATTCGTGTACACTGAATCGCCGATAGCTCCTCACTCTCGGAGGAAGCAGAGACAGGGTCAAAATTCTTGTCCAAAACCGGCCTCAGCCTTATCAACAAACCTGGCGATGTCAATCAATCAGCTTGCCTTGAACAACCGTCTATAATCGCATTCACAGCGAACTTTTACTGACGCGGAGATCTCGATAGACGGTTACTCTATTTTTCGAGCCGACTCAAAACGATGGAGGGCTTGTGAGGTTGCTCTGTGCATAAATCGGCCCTAAAAATCCCGATTGTCCTCTCTGATGCCACTTCTGTATCTTTTTGCGATGCGCTGTAGCTCCAACTCCCACTGCGTGGGTCCGATTCTGTCCCCCTCGGTTTACCGTAGCCCCTCGAGTCTCCCTGAAGATGATCAGTTTTTCATACGAACCTTTGAGCAACCCTTCTCCAACTACCACTTCAGTCATCTACTGAGATCAGGTGACTTCAACGTTCCAAAGATCTCCGTGATGGAGCTCCAGCGCGTCGAATTAAGCGGCCTCTTTGCTGTGGCAGTGATTGAAGTCGTTCAACAGAGCGCTCGGACTCAACATGTCGTTGCACCCACCAAATACCGCGCAGGCCAACTACCATCCCTCCTGGATTTGGTCATCACCAACGAAAGACACTTCGTTGATCAGTTAACAATTAATGCTCCACTGGGACATTGCGACCGCTGTGTGCTTACCTTTGATTTTGTCTGCTATTGGACCAGAAATCCCGAACCTAAAGCGTGGTTTCGAGACTCCTGCCGTGCAGACTTCTCAGGAATGCGCATCTTCCTTGAACAAGTCACACTGGGACCAGCTCCAGTGGAAGAACGTTCACAAGGCTGACGCGATGTTCGTCCAAAAAAAACCAGCAAGCAGGTGGATGAACCGCGGGCTCCCAAAAGGGATTCGGCGACTTCTGGAAAAAAGATCCCAACTCTTTTTCAAAAAGTTGACCACAGGGGACACAGAAGATGAGCTGGCATTTCGTAAAATGCAGCACCGCTGTAGATCAGAAATCCGCAAATGGAACATACGAAATCAAGCCACCATTCTGGACCTCGCTCGAAAAAACAAAAACGTCTCGTTCAAATGCATGAGACATCGTCGCAGAAACAAGCCATCCGCGTTCTTCTTGAGGGACAAAAACGGAGAACCGACGAATGACACAACAGTGGTATCCGAGGCTTAAAGAGAACTCTATGCTTGTCTATACTCAGCCCCAGCGTCTTTGTCAAATCCACTCTCGCCAAGAAGGAACTACGAACAACCTCTGACCGACTTGGTCGTCACGGAGGACATTCGTCAACCCTTGCATCAAATCAACCCTTTCTGCGCTTTGGGGCCCGACGGGGTCCATCTAAGGATCCTGAAAGAAACGTCCTCCACACTGGCAAATCATTTACACCTGGTATTTCGCCAGTTGCTTGACGGAGGCCGCCTTCCCTCTGCGTGGAAGGTAGCGATTTTCACGCCAATCTGCAAAAACAGTGACCGACTATCGGCTAAGAGCTACAGGTCTATAAGCCTCACCAGCTTGCCGTGCAAGGTAATGGAACGCATTCTGAAGCGAGCTATCCTAGATCATCTTACTTCCAGTAACCTGATATCTCCGGCTCAACATGGATTTCTCACAAACCGCTCTTGCGTGACAAACATGCGCGTGATTGTGGACAGCTTAACCCAATCCAAGGACGAAGGACTCATATCGGATACCATATTTTTCTACTTCTCAAAAGCATTTTGATAGGGTCCCACACGTTCCGCTGCGCCACAAACTCGAGTCTCACGGGATCCAAAGGAAAATCCTTCACCGGATCAAAGTGTTTCTAGTGAGAATAGGCTCGACCTACTCTCTTCCAGCGCGGTCTCCATCGGAGTTCCTCAAGGCTCCGTCCTGGGACCAGTGTTGTTTCTGATCTACGTCAACGACCTCACAGAGGTTCTTGCGAGCCCATGTCTACTTTTTGCGGACGACTTGAAATCATGGAGTACCAATGCCAGTGTCCTCCAAATGGATGTAGACGGTGTCAAGCCGTGGTCGTTGGACTGGCACCCTCCTCTGAATGACGAAAAGAGCGTCCATATGTCATTTGGAGGAGACCCAGCGAATATCTTTGTCATGCTTGATGAGAAAGAACCAGGAAACATCACGAGGATAGACGTCAAGAAGGATTTGGGTATCTGGGTCTTCTCAAAACTGTCCTTCTCACTGCACCATGAGAAGTCAGACCAAAAGGCATTCGCCATTTCACGGATGATCCGACGCACCTTCTCCCGTATTACTCGCATGGACTTCCAAGTACTCTATGGGGCCTACATCAGACCGCTCCTGGAATGCGCCAACCAATTTGTCCGCTCAGGACGCACGAAGGACGTCACCCTCATTAAGAGTATCCAGCGAGCCACTACGAGTATGGTTGTAAGTCTCAAATCCGTGGACTACGATAAGCGTCTCGCGATGCTTGATCTCTTTCCCCTGGAGTACCGTCAACTCCGAGGGGACCTAATTCTTACTTATGTCCTGTTTGAACAAAGCTTGGCGAACAAGTTTTTCACCGTTGACCCAGAAAACACATGGCGGGGACGTAGTAAGATTTTCAAGCTCAGAGCACACACAGTCATTAGACAAAATTTTTTCCCATGTCGGGTGGTCGCTGCGTGTCCACGCTCCTTCTAGATCCTAGTTTAAAGCACTATTAGACATTTATTTATGCAAATCCTCACGCCGGCAAACATGCCACCCCGCGCTGAGAACATAAAGGGCAGTGCTACACTCTTTTTACACTTGTGCCTTTCAGGTGAACGACAGCCACTGACCGACAAGAACAAAACCGACCCGGGAAACTTGGACAATAGTCTCGATCCTGCGAATCAATCCGTGAATAAGTGACATATTCGCAGTTCGGTTGAATACAACCGTAACCCAAATGATAGAAGGCACCTCCAGTTTGTGGAGCGTTGAAGCATGCCACGGCTCTTGAGGAGGACTGTACACACTTAGGCCGCAGGAAAAAAACTATCCAGTCTGCGGAAAAATTACACCAGTTTTGGTATCTGATAGCTGCAAGGGGAATCAGGTGGCTCTCCTCTTGAGGGTTCCACGTGTACTGCAACCGAAACGGGACTGCACCAGCTTATATATGTTCATCGTATGACCTGATGTGTGTATCTCTCTTTTCCCTATTACGGGTACACTGGATGGGCTACCACGAGACCCAGACAGGAAGTAGTAGCCTGATTGTTCACTCCCTCAAGTAACCTTGAGCTACAGCTGTGCCCGCACTTGACCCGTGTGTGAGCTTCAGTCTCAGTACACCCACGTTTTGTCTTGCACCTTTCTTCTCCTTTAAGCCTACAAGCTGTGCGGGCGCGCGCTTTGTGTGCCTTGTGATTTCAATGTCAATTAAAATATCTACAAACTTAACAGCCGGCGTGTGCCGCCACTACATCCTCGCGAACGTCCAACACCGCCTACTTCCTGAAATTCCACGCTGCACAAGATTACAGTCAGAAGCGACCAATTTTAGACGCACATCACAAACATTTCTGAAAGGGTAGTTTGGTGATTGAAACTTTGACTTAAGGTTTTGGCTTTGATACTGGACTTTGGTTGTTTCAGCATGCTCAAATTCAACTTTGGGTGCGGAATTCATATTTGTATTCGCCGCTGATGGCTCAGCATGATGTTCCCTTGAAGACGGGGTATTTTCTGGAGAAGTTTATTTCTTTAATTGTAATGGGTTTCGAAAATGTTTTTAGACCATATGCAATATAATTACATCCTGCAAATTCCAAATTGCGCGGTTGTTCCCGACTAGTAAAGTAAGAAGTTTTCTCTCCCTTCATTGGGTACCCCGCCAGATAAGACCAAGGACTTCGACACAGCCAGTAAGTTTGTCAGTTTTAATTTGGGTCAACACGCTGTATCGGATGTGAGGGAAGGTTTTGTTTGCACCGATATACTGACTCCTCGACGGTGCCATAGGGAAAAATAATGGGTTTATGGGCAGAAAGTGCGGACAGTACGCTAGGTTGTCCAGTACCTTGGAGTTCTCAGGGACTGGGACGGTCCTATAGGCTCATGTGACCGCTCGGTGGGGAAATAATGGAGGACTTGGTGAATTACGGGCAAGTCAACCGGTTGGGTATAACAGTCACGGTTTCGTCATCGTGAAGTCCTACGTTGGTCCGTACATGATCCTCTCATGTGAGTCAACTATAGTTGACATGTTAGAAACGGTTGGACAAAGAATCGTGACAACCTAAGACCGGCGTGGACCAGCAGTACTCTTAAGTTAATCGGGGTCGCGGCCATTTGGACGAGGTAATAGGATAGCCATGCCGTGACATTTTAGGGCGCAAACTAGGAAAACGTGTCGAATAGGTCTGCTGAAGGGCAAAATGGATTGGGTTAGATTGCGCCTTGAAATTGCCGGCAGCCAACAGTAATCGAAATTTCTACTCACTGAAGTGAAGCGACACTACCTGATTTCATAAAACGTTGTCGATATTCAGATGGAGGTAGTAATTATGCGGTCTATACAAACGGGTGTCGGTATATTTGAATATGAGAAATGTGTATTGGCTAACATGCGCGCAACCAATATATTTCGGGGCAAACAGTGGTAATAAGTTATAAAAAAAATCAGACGCCTGGCGGTCTGGTGTGTTTGAACAATGAGGTAACCTCATGTTGGCTCAGTTACAGACTAAAGAAAGTGCACAAGCTCTGCAAAACTAGCTGCACCGCAGAAGTCATGTCGCGTGCATATTAGCACTTTCTACTTCACTCTACATGAAATCTTGGATCCGTAAGAGTACTGTCGAGGATATGTACTACACCCACGTGAAGAATAAGCCAGACATACAGACATTTGGCAAAAGTTAATTCGATTTTAGATCCATCTTTCCTCCTTTAGTAACGGTATTTTCCTCAGCTTGGCTCTCGGTCGATGCACCCAAGCTAGCGCTCACGCCAAAACGACCGCCCTATGTGCACAAGGTATTTCGACCCAAAAACGAATTAATGGACACTTGTACAGCGCTTCACATATGTACAAACATATATATAGTGTAAGCTTTATGGAAAGTCTGATGCCTTCTGGATGCGCCATTGGCAATCGGCACTCGGTCAATACTGAGTCATGATTGGCTGTTGGGTCCAGACGCACGACCAATCAGATCTCGGCTTGATGTCGGACCGGCCAGCACCCCAAACTTTTGGCCAATTTTGCCCGGAGTATGATTCTCAGCCGTAGCAGCGGCAAAGCGAAAAGCATGTGAAATTCCGACTGGGACCTTCTCCTCGGAGTTTGTTGACGTAGCTTTCAAGCCGAGGGTTTAATTGCAGTGGCCTCACAGGCTCGCGTTTCCTGCCTGCCAGCGTCATTGTCGTAATCCGTGCTCGAGCTGGGCCTCCGACGAAGCAGCTGATGGATTTTCTGGGATAGTGTCGAGATGAAATACATCCAGAGACATCTTTAGACTCAACCCACTCGGTTTTGGACAGGATCTGCGCATCTGTTGGCAGGGTTTGGTTGGTGTGTCATACCCACCCGTCTGGGCCAACTTGGATCCCGAAGAGCACTTTACCGCACCGGCAAAGAATGGGCCACGGGTTACATGTGTGGTATATGCCGCTGTATTCACAAACCATCACTACCGGGTTTTCGCTGAAGGAGCATGTGGTTGCTCCAGGATGCCGGCCGAACTGTTCCTCTATTCTGGTGTTGTGGCGACTAACTTGCACTTTCTGCGGCCGAATAGTGGCGTGAGGTGTTCGAAGCCTCCTTCGGAGCAGTGCCTCTGCTGGTAACATTCCATTGGGTGAGTTTGGGTTTGGCGTTGCCCTGTATGCCTGCAGGAACCCTTGCAAAATCTCTTCCGTTGGTCCCTCCCCCTGGACTTCTGCAGTTCCCGCTTCGGAGTGTCAACGAAGCGTTCCGCTTGGCCGTTCAACTGCGGCGAGAGGACATGTGTTATGCCGTACTCCCGACAAAAGTTTGCGAACGTCGATGACGTGAACTGACCGTCTGACACAATAGTCTCTGGTGTTTCAAAGCGACTGAGCAAACTTAGATGTTCCAGGACTGTAGTGTCCGTTGTTGGGCTGTTCACTGGGAATATTTCGGGCCATTTGCTGCAAGCGCCAACCACAACGAAAAGTGTTGACCTCTGCTGGACCTCCATAATGTATGTGAGGGCGAGACCAGGGTTCGATCGTCTGCGGCTACGACCGAAGGTAGCTTTTCACGGGTGACTTGGATGCTTCAGCACACAGCAGGCACCATTTTGAGACTTGCTTGATCTGGGTGTCCATCAAAGGCCAGTAAACGTAACTCCGAGCAAGGGCCTTCATCCTGTTTGTTCTCGGGTGCCCTTTATGAAATTGGTTCAGGCCAGCCGGTTGTGACTTCTTTGGGACGACAACGTGTTCTGAAAAAAATGCATCCGTCGGCTAGTGAGAATGCTTCACGCCGACTGAAGTAAGGTCCCAGTGCACCTCTTGGGCAGGTACGCGGCCACTGATTGTCCTGGTACTTAATGACCAGCCGCAGCACAATGTCTTGGCCAGTAGCCTGGTGGACCATGTCGGCAGTCACCGGGAGGATGCGAGTCGCTTCTGATCCCACGTGGTTAACTCCCGGTTGCAGGGCAGTTGTGGCGACTACGGTGTCTTCTGGTTCCGGTCTACTTGAATCAACGGGTCGCGAAAGTGCATCGGCTTGCCCGAGGCAAGTTGTGGACTGGTACTTGATCTTGAAGTCATATCCCAGGAGCAGAGTGAGCTGACGGCCGTAGAGCATTCTATGAAAATTTTTGACGGCAAACACGATTGCCAAAGTTTACTTTACTGTCTGGCTGTAGTTGCGCTCGGCTGATGTCAGGGATCTGGCCGCACGTGCGCTGGCCTTCTGGCTGCTGTCGGGAAAACCATGTGAAATCACTGCGCCATTTCCATAGTCAGAGGCATCCGATGCCACACCGATTTCCAGAAGTGGATCGTAGTGAGTGTGCAGCAAATCGGAACTCAGCACTGACTTGACAGAGTCAAAAGAGCGTTGGCATTCTTCTGACATTACCCCTTGTGGTCTTTGTTAAGTGACTGGTTTCTTGGGCCTCTGAGGCGATGCACAGCAGGCAGAAACGAACTATAGTGGCTGACGAGACCGAGGAAGGATCTGAGGGACGTCACGTCTGCTGGCGCTGGCATACGTTTGGTAGCATTGATTTTTCCCGGGTCTGGCTAGCGGCTATGCACGTCAGTGATGAACCCAAGGTACATTATCGACCGCATGGGAAAAGTGCGTTTCTCTCGGCTCACTCTAAAGCCATATTCTTGAATACGACTGGGCACGTAATCAAGGAGCCGTCACAATTGGAACCTATAAAAATGAGATCGTCCAAATGAGCAGCAACCCCGAGGGCATTCTTCAGTATCTCATCCATGGTTTGTTGAAATATGGCTGGCGCTGTTTTGACACCGAATGGCAGTCGAGTACAGTCGAGAACAGACAGCGATGCACATTGATCGAGAGAAGTTCTCGCGATTCTTCCTCGAATTAAACCCGGGGGTGAGCATCGGACAAATTAATCTACGCGAAACATTCCCCCCATTCTGTTTCGCGAACAAATCGTCTAGAAGAGGTGAGGGTATCGGTGCGTATCCAGCGCAGCGTTGAAACCGGTGGAGAAATCAACACACAACCGGTTCGTCCCATTAGCCTTCTTAGCCAACATGATAGGTGCGACCCAAGCTGGGTGGTTGGTCGGTTGGAGAACACTAGCCTTCTCTAGTGGGTCCAGTTCTTGGTCAACGATAGGTAAGGTTGCATACGGTACTGGGCGTTTTGGCCTGAAAACCGGTTTAGCATCGGAGAGGAGGCACAGTCTGGCTCTTGCTTTTGTGCACCATCCAAGCTCGTCGGTGAACGTAGATGCACAACGTTGTGAGAGGTCCTTAAGTGAACGCTTTGGAAAATGAGTTTGTTTGAGGGCACCCCCGGGTGCTGGTCTGTGAGGTTGCAAATAGAATAAATTGATTTCTCCGGCAGAATCATCCTTTCGATCTAATCCAGCCCCATTAGATCAAGTTTGGAGTATGACGTCAAGTAGCACTTGGCTAATGCCGCCGAACCATTGAAGTTAACGGAGCAGTCAACCTAACCAATCAACTTCAGTTTACCACCAGCAGCCTTACGTGCCCAATGTTCAGTCGGCTTCACATGCGGCTTACTAGTTCGTTTCCACGTTCATTCATTGAGCGGCGTGATGTCGAGGCCCGTATCCAGCTGCAAACCAACTGGCATGTCGTTGATACGAACCGTCGCGAACTCACTTCGGCAAGAAAAATCAACGTTGAATGTCATTGTCACCGAGTTGGACCGCAATTTGTGAGCTGCAGGGTAGTGAGCGAGTGGCTGCAGCCTTTGAGATTGATATAAGTCTTCCTTGTGACCACGACGACGGCACCTGGAACAGTTATCACGCCTGAACCGGCACTAACGAGCAAAGTGCCACCCAACGCAATGTCAGCAAATTGTGGAAGGCTTACTCTGTCTTCGCTCCGGCTTGTCAGATTTCTCAGCGCGCTGGAGTTGATTGCCTGTGCACAACTGCCTTACGTCAAAGATGACCGTCAAATCATAGCCGTGTCCAGGCTGATGAGGCGTTGACATTCGGCGGTGAGGCTCTACAACGTCACTTCCTGGTAAGCAGCCGGGTTCCGATGTCATCATCTTGGGATGACTGGAGACCGCACACGAAAATGAGGAGCTTAAATTGATTTACCGCCATTGAGTCAAGTCCGTGGACTACGAAACGCGTCTCGCGACGCTTGATCTCTTTCCCCTGGAGTACCGTCGCCTCCGAGGGGACCTAATTCTTACCTACGCCCTGTTTGAACAAAGCTTGGCCAACAGGTTTTTTACCGTTGACCCAGCAAACACCCGGCGGGGACATAGTAAGAAAATCTTCAAGCTCAGGGCGCACACATCCGTTAGACAAAACTTTTTTCATTTCGGGTAGTAGCTGCGTGGAATGACTTTCCTCCGACGGTTGTACACGCTCCTTCTCGAACCCAGTTTAAAGCACTATTAGACATTTATTTATGCGAATCCTCGCGCTGGCGAGCATACTGCCCCGCGCTGAGAACATAAAGAGCAGTGCTACACCCTTTTTTCACTTGTGCCTTTCAGGTGAACGACAGCCACTGACCGACAAGAACAAAACCGACCCGGGAAACTTGGGCAAAAGCCTGGATCCTGTGTATCAATCCGTGAATCCGTGAATCCGAGTTGAGCATGAAGTGCTCGCATTTCCGATTGACAAAACTGCCAAACGGGATGAAGTCACAATCTCCTTGCTTGATCAAATTTAGGCATTGATAACGTATACTGAACAGTGACGTTTGATCGCCGAATATCTGGGACAGTGTTCTCACCATTGCACTAAAGCTGAGGTCGCGGTGCAGCATCGGGAGAGTGAATTTTGTGTACCGTTACTGTTCGGGTTTACCGAGTTTCCGTACCAATACTCTGACTTTCCATCCGTCATCACACTTGGGTAAGTCAGCCTTGTACATGTCTTTGTATCGCTTGAACCAGGAGTCGAAGTGTGACCGGAAGAAGGGTCGGATATGAACAATTACTGAAGCCGCGGCTGCATCAGTTAAAGAAACAGAAGACTCACTAGTACTGCATGCGGTCGTCCGGATATGCAGTCTCTGAGTCACTGCTTTGACGTGCTTCAGATGAGCCTCTTCAACCTGCTCATTTGCCGCCGCAAAAGTTCTCGGAGCTGACTAAATTCGACTGACATCGTGGGTTCCCGTTCGCCATTTGTTGTAACGATATTTTCCTCATCTTGGCTCTCGGTTGGTGCGCCCAAGCTAGCGTTGACGCCAAAACAACCGCCCAATATGCACAAGGCATTTTAATCCCAAAACGAATTAGGAATAATCGTACAATACGACAGCTCTCTGGAAATTCTGACGCGTTCGTGATGCGGTATTGGCAACAGGCATTCGGCCAATACTAGGTCTTGATTGGCTGTTGGGTCCAGATGTTCGGCCAACTAGATCTCAGCTTGACTTCGGACCGGGAAGCGCCGCTGACTTTTGGCCAATCTTACTTGAGGTAGGCTTCCCAGACGTATCGACACCTGACTGCGGGCGGCAAAGCGAGATCCGTATGGAATCCCGCCTAACAAATGCCCCACGATGTAGAGGAGAATTGGCGCACGCGCCTAGGAGTGACCCACCACAAATATCCGAGCTTCCTAGACCTCCAACACAGCCAGTCAATTTGGATAGAAAACGGCGATACTGTTATACTATGAATACCACCGACGTCGGTTGGCTGTCATATCTTTCGATGTCTCCAGTGATGTACAAGCAGAATCACGAGTAGCCCATCGCGAAATGGGAACAGCACCGATCGAGGACACCCAAACTTGTCTCAACATCCTTTATCACTCTGCCATTTTAGATTCTGTACGCCTCTAGTTTGCTATCACTTGGAATTAGGTACGATAATCAGTGCCTATCGCGTGGCCTAGCCACCGTAGCTTGCAGTGTTGGGTGCATCCATTTCAACAGAGACTCGCTCCTGACCACCTGGTTACAGCTGACACCAGCCATATTTTTGAGGCATCGGTGGTCAAAGACCAGATGGGCCAAACTCAGCGGTGGTATCTTGTCCGCTTCTTCTTCGGTGTGAGCAACCTGGCCGCATATCATCCCCCGTGTTTTCATCTGGTGGCATGGCAGCTGTGCAGCGAACAATTGTCATAAACTGTTATTAGGAACCTGACGATGTTTCAACCCTATTACTAAATTCGAGGCGTTTCTTGACCCTTACCAAATGTTGTTAATTCCATCAGTTGCACCGTAGTCTGATTCACGCATCCTTTGAAACACATGTATCTTGTTGATGTCAAAAGTGGTTCAAATTGGCAGAAGTAATTCTGACCTTTGAAATTCGCTCGTTCACGTTGTCACTGCCGTCAGATCTAACCCAACTACCGGGGGGAATACAGCTTCTTTTGCCATTCCTTGGATTCTGAAAGTCAGATTCAAAAACTAATGTTCCGTAGCATGATGTAAAACTTGGCGGGTGTAAAGTACTTACTAAAGGATTGGATGGCCTTGGTCATTGTCGTCAGCCGTGCAACTCCATACCTGTTGTACAGCGGTTATCGTTGCCACCGTTTCGTCAGCCTATGATGTGTAGAGAGAGAAGTGAATAGCTACACATTGGAGGCGGTTGCTGACAACTGATGCGTCGAAATAATTTTGAAACCACAGCATCTGGTGCTGATCTAAATGTATCTGCCATGTGCAACCGCGTTAGGAGTCGGGCAATAATGCCTTAGTCTGTGTATCTTGGGATTAGGCAAGCCTCCTAAAGCCGAGCCGTTTGGAGTGTTAAGTTATCACCGGGTAGGGTCCTCTAAGGAAACCTCAGTACCCACTACCTATCAAGCCACAGGCTAGGGGCAGGGTCCCCAAAAACCCTACATCGTCCCACTATCCCGTGGGTCTGACTTTTGTGTCAGTCTTAATCAAACCCCCTTTGGCCTGGCAACCGGGGAGTAAAATATACTCGCACGGTTATTTGTCCACCGACGTCCATCTCCAACCTCTCTGTTATACAAGCAAAAGTTCCAGTATTAATTTCTGTCATTTGTCTGACCTATGTGGCTTATGTACTACGCAGATCACTAACGAATAACGAAATAACACTGCTAAATCCACGAGTTCCTCTCTACACAAAGGATTTCTACATCTGCACTTTGTCAAATTGGCAAACAAGCAGTGCTTGCTTAGGCCTCATAATCTCTTAAAATTGATATTTACTGTGTTTCTGAAACACGCATACAAGACCCAAGCATGATCATGCATCCTAAGACAAGGAAAAACCGAGCTGTTTCAAATTTAACTCTCCGTGTGTCCGGTGATCCATAATCAATAACTCGCGTAACTTGTGGTGTGGGAGTCGCGGTCAGCCTCATAACTGAATGTGCTTTGTTGGGTTGGATTCCACTGAACGGTCGTCTTTGTGCCGTTTGGTTATTCGGCTCAACAAAGCCCGACTCCGCTTGATAGAAAAGGGCGTTTTTTAGTGTTGGCGACGAACCACAGTTCCGACCCTGGAACGGATACTCGTCGATAATTATCCGGTCTCATTCGTCAGGCAAGAGGCACTGACGTTGCCATCCTTGCGGGCGATATGAATATCTATTCCGTCGCTTGGGCTCCTTGGAATCACATTTGGGTGATTAGTTCGGAGTCGACGCTCGGCTC